TCTGTACTCCTCCTCCCGTCCATCCCTTATACACCCTACCACTGCAGAGTCATCCGAAAACTTCTGCAGGTGGCATGACTCTGAGTTGTATTGAAAGTCAGAGGTGTATAAGGTGAACAGGAAAGGAGACAGCAAAGTCCCCTGTGGGGCTCCAATACTACCAACCACCACATCAGACAGCACACTGCCCAGCCGGACGTACTGTGGTCTGTCCGTGAGGTAGTTGGTAATCCATGAGGTTCACACACTTAATCTTTGTTGCTTTTTTACACTGGTACTTTTGGCCAACTACCCAAAAAGGCCAAGTAAAAAAAAAAATGTTATGAACATTTTCTCAACTTTTTTCTCAGAATGTTTTGTATCCCACAAATAGGTTAAACATAATACAATCGGTACTTGCATGCTGTTGGGTTTTTTCTAAGCTGTGACAATACATGTGTCTAAAAGTTTCAGAGAAAGATAATTCTATCTCTAGGCATCATGTGAGACATTCTCCTTCGCTTATACAATGTACACAATGGGATCAAGATCAATAAAAAAAAAATCAGCTCTTAATTTGTATTATTAGCAAATATGTTCTGGTTTGGAGGTCATCGATGGAGGTTTGAATAAGCTCTGTGCAGATATCACTTTGTTACACTGTAGTTGTTGATAACCTCAGAAGCCTCGATAAAAAAAGGACATAAATGGTATCTTACTGGTGGCTGCTTTTCTCAGCGTCATCAAGATGATATAACTGAATTTATTTTCCACTGTCTGAGTGTGAGGGGACAGGGGTTAGGACCAGGATTCAGAGCTAAAAGGAAAAAGGTTCAGGGTTTAAAGGGAAAATAAAGAAATAAACGCTTCTTCAACAACAAATCGACATGCTTTCATATAAAAAAATAAAGGATCTCATGCTCTCTTTTTACATTCTCCACTTTAGTGCCTGTCTTTACACGTCCCCTTCCAAAAAAGCCTAGTTTGCTCTGATTGGCTTGCAGAAAAAATAGCAATGGTAGTTCTCAAAATTATATTTGAATGAGCTTGCATGTGACATCAGAAGGGGGGGATACATCTGAGTGGCTTGTTGAATCTCATGTTTTCTGACCAAGGCAGCCCACTACAATGTTCTGGTTTGTATGATTTGTGGCTTGGTTGGCACTTATAAAAACACCTATTATGTATAAAAGATCTCATGGTATGTCCCCTTTAAAGACATGTGAGGCAAATAGGTGACAAAACAACGAAGTGCAAACAAATCAGTGAGGACCTGACTTGGACTCATCACACAAACACCATCACCAAAACAGCTCGACAGCGGCTCTTCTTCCTCCGCAGGCTGAGGAGGTTCAACATGGACTCCAGGATACTCTGCAACTTCCACAGGTGCACCATAGAGAGTATCCTGACTGGCTGCATCACGGCCTGGTACGGCAGCGGCACCGCCCTCAATCGTAAGGCTTTACAGAGGGTGGTGAAAACTGCACAGAACATCAGGACGGAGCTGCCATTCATGGAGGATCTTTACTCCCAAGTAAGAAGAAAGCCCTCAGGATTACAAAAGACCCCCACCACCCCAGCCACAAACTGTTCTGTCTGCTGCCGTCTGGCAGGTGGTACCACAGCACCAGGACTAAAACCACCAGACTCAGGGACAGCTTCATCCCACAGGCCATAAGACTATTAAATACCTGAACTTGAAACAACATCCATAACATTCATCTGGCTGCTACTTAGAAATTATGTATCTATTATTTCATATTCCAATCATTGTATATAGACTCTTATTGCACTATTTCAGTATTTTACTATTTTTCTTTTTGTATTTACTTGCACTATGTTTTCTGTTTTCCTGTTTTATTGTGTTGCACTGCTGGTGGAGCCTGGGACCTAAGATTTTCATCGTCATAACTACACTCTAGCTATGAACGTATGACTAATAAAAGCCTTGAAATGTATGGGTAACATATATAAGTATTAAATACAATAATGTTCCTATTTCATTTTTTGGATTTCCAGTAAACATTTTTAATAGTAATTTTAACAATTATCGTATAATTCAAAAGAAATAAAACTTTGGTCGGCTTATAAGTCTTTTAATATAAAAGTGTTGGTTTGGGTCCAGCATGACCGGCTGCTGCTGTAAAAAAAACAGTAACACATACTTGCTTATCACAATCATTTATAGCCTATTTGTGAACATTAATAAATCACAGTTTTTTACTTCACGACTGTCAAAAAAATAAATACAAATAAATAAATGCTGACCTAAGCTGTTGATCACCTTGAGTGAACGCAAACCTCAATCTGTTTTATGATTTTATTTCAACACTTCGCTTCCGGTCACTTGTTTGCTGCTTGTAGAGAACTTGACGCAATGGGGTAGCACGTGGAAGGTGGAGCCAAATATAGTGCAGCAAATGAGGCCAGAGAAGTGACGCCAAAACCCCGGATTACGTTCAGTGACGACGATGGAGGACATGCAGTGCCGGCGTTTTTAAAAACGATATTCCTGTGTGTAGAACTATTGTGATAAAGTATGAATGGAGGGATCATTGAAACACACGTGTTGAGGGAGCGAAGAGCATCGACACGCGACAGGACCCAGTGGTAAATCGCCAAGTTAAACGTCACCTATTAGGAAAAATCCACTTCTTAATGTCTTTTATACATAAACATGTGTCCCCTCTGTGTAAAGAGATTCTGAAAGTTTCAGGAAAAAAGATTTGCTCTCCTTTTGTCCTGATCCATTTATATAAAAAAACCTGTCTGAAAATAACCTGATCAGATTTTGGCCACTTTATAATGTCATAACGATTTTTTTGGCTTGTGCAACCCCCCCCCTTATCACCTGAATCTCCTCCTAGAGCACCATTGTGTTCTTTTTAACCAAATATCTCTCAGAGGGGCGTGGGGAGTGGCTCCTTATTTTCATCTGAAGTAACAGACAGAGAATAAGCACTTTTGAAACAGGGCTGAAACAGAGGGGATTATGGGATGCTACAATATATGATATGTTTGGTATTTGGAGCCAAACACTTCAGAGACATGTTTTGTATATATCTGAGACCCATAATATATTGATGAAAAACAGTATATTAGGGGACCTTTAAGTACAAAGTGAAATTACTTATTATGCAGAATAGCTCTTTACAGTATAAATCTGTATATCAGTATATCTGCTGATAGTCTTTAATGATTCATGTTGCAGCTGGAAACTGTGCTTTATGTATTGCCAGCTGACGTAATCCATTATCATTTACTAGTTTCTTTTATATATTTTGTTTACATTTTCTGAATCTGCAAAGTTACTAGCAACTAAAGCTGTCGAAAAATGTTGAGGAGTAAAAAATTCAGTATTTGATTTAAAAATGTAATGAAGTATAAAGTAACATGACATTGAAATACACTGCTCATACTGTATAACCTGGTTTGAAGGTAACATGCATAATACTCCCTTATCGTCTCTAGGCCCTCATTTTGTATAAGGGAAAACTCCAAATTAACAACAAAACAGTAGAAGTAAGGCAATACAATAGTATGGGTAGGCAATATTGACACTATTCTTTTGGTTTGTATTTTTTATAATATATGATATATATTCTATGAATTGTTTATTGATAAAATAGTTAGGATCATCTGTTTTGACACATCCAGTGAAATGAATAACATAGTAAGTTTTAAATCCAGGATTATCACCCTGATTGATGGTCCAATTAAACCAGTCATAATTATAGGGAAATATCATAAAACAATACGGCAGGAAGATTAACATCGTCTCACGCTACATTTTACATATATTGTCATATAGCCCAACCCTGCAATGAGCATCCTATATAGAAATAAAGCAGAGGTAGTTTTGCAATATAGACACGTTGAGGAAGCAAACTAAGTGCATTAAATGAAAAGGGCTTCAGGGAAATTGTAAATGCTAGCTTCACTTTGGTTAATAGTTGCAGCTCTAATAGAGTGAGTTATGTATCAGTAGATGTTTGGTATTAAATGGATATTGAAGTGTGTGACTGTGTGAGATACGCTTCTTCAAATATTCCCTTAGATGAATTACCTCAGAGTGGTGCAAAAAAAAAGAATCTGTCCTCGTGATACTTGTTGAAGAATTGAATAAGCAACAGAATTCATATCGCTGCTGAATTATTATGTTGGACAAATCACAACATTTTCACACCATGACCATAAACAAAAATATAACCACATTCATACAGATGGTTACATTGAAGGAAGCAAGCTATATTGTATAACTACAGTATGAATAGTAATATATAATGGTAATAGTAACGATATTGATTTCATATTGATAGATTAAAAACAAAGACATACACCCAAAACAATCTTTAATCAAACATGAATACAATTGAAAATAATATCTAATCAAGTTACCACATTAATTCACACGATAGATATCTTAAACAAACACCACTAAATATTTTAAATCCCTAAATCACACCTAAAATTACATTTCAAATAGCAATAATATGGTATTAAACAGTGATTCTTAATTAAAGCTGATTTAAAATGATCACATTTGCACTTAGATTGGTTTATAATATTAAACAGGGCTCTAAAAACTGCATATATGGCCCAATTGTGCATAATGCATCCTTATTCACTTTTAAGTCGTTAAGTCACTACTCACTTGATCAAATTTCTCGATCACCTTCAATCAGTATGAACCAAGGAGAGCCAGGAAGTGTTTTCTTTATTTTTTCAGGTTTAACTTCAATTTTCCAAAACTTCAGATTCATCAAGATACTGTGACGGGACAGTCGGTCCACACTGCATGTAAATAAAGAAAGACAAGTATATCAGCATTACCAAGAGCAGAGCTGCAACTATCTTTACTGAAGAATGGTGCTAGTATAAATAATAAACAATAAACATTTTTGAAATACATTTTATCTCAAACATTTAGAAAACAATACATTTAAAGCAGTACAAATGTATGACTTTTTACCAAAAGCATTTCATTTAACAAAAAAAGTATGACTTTTAGTAGGATATAACATTGTTAAAAACCATGTATTAACAAATCATGTAATGTTTTACTTTACAGATTTAAGTGAAGTGCACAATATGAACCAACATTTAATTTGATATTATTATTACCCTTGCTTCAAATGGGTTACAGGATTGCCTATGTTCAGGCCTTTCTGCAACCCCAGGCACTATTGAACTCTACCCAATCTTGGCTGCTCAATTTAGAGAATCGTGAGGTTGTTGGCTCAGGTTCTGCGATGATAGATTGAACATCTTTCCTATCGTAGAAAAATGATGTCAAGAATTTGTGGCCACATGAATAAATTATTTTCACCTGACTGCCGCATGCAGCTAACCTGGACCACTTCTTCCACAACCTCAAGGACCTGACCTATATAGGGAAGTTCATCATAGGTAACAATCACAAACTTTCCACTGAGGTCTTTTACACTGGCAGGTTGCCTTGGTGGATTAGGAGTGCTTACCAAATCTCGGTGTTCCTCATGTCTACCAGTTGTGGCTGGTAACATGAGCATGGCTTCATTTCTGCATGTGTGCAAAAGCATGAAACCTGCCTGTGACTTATTTTACCAGCTTCTACAGACAACACCTGGTGAATCTTTAAAGTGCCCTTCACTGTTGCCAATTTGCCTGGAATCAGCTCATCATATTTTTCAATGATTTCTTCGCTTATCCAATGGAAGGTAATAGCTTTTTTTGCAAGCATCTCATAAACATCCAGTGGAGTCTGTAGGTCGCCCCCTCTTTGGACATAAAGATCTGCATCTCTCTTAACCGCACCACCAATGCCATCTGGGGCTCCCTTTCCATGCGACTCTTCAGAGTAGTTCCATGTAACTTGAAATTAGAAAGGAAGGGAACAGTGCTGAGGAAGTAAAAGTCTGCTTTGTTCCTGTACTGTGTACAGGGCCCATCACTGATTACATGTAATACTGTAATCTGGGGGCAGGTTGTCCGAAGCTCTTTCAGTATGGGCTCCAGGTGGGCCCACACTGCCTGCTCATCATGGCGGAGGTTGTCCGACAGTGTGGCATATGACTTAGTGCCATTGACTGTGGAGAGTACAGCAGTGTGTAATGTGGCTTGCTTTCTGCTGCCTCCAAAATGGTAGGCCTGTATTTCAGTACTCATCTTACATGAATAGTTCTCTGAAAAATCTATGTGTAGAACTGCTTCAGTGTCAGTGAGATTTAGTTTGAGGTCACAAAACTGTTCTGTTTGGTGTATCCAATTAAATTGATGAATGGCTCAAGCTTTTTCTGGAACAACTCTGTTGTCTGGATTGTCCCTGTGTATGTCTGCTTTAAAACATTTGCAAAGTTTTTCTCTCCTTTTGTTGATGTGACGCGCTCCCATTGATCCCAAGAAACTTTGCCACACTCTGTCTCAGGAATTTCTGTTTCTTCAAAGCAGCAAGTGGGACATTTGCGGTCCATGCATGCTTTATTTTTACGATCACACACAATCATACTCAACAATTCTGAGATGCTGGTTGTTTTAAGCAACCCTCTAGTAGCAAACCTGTTAAGCCCGAGAGACCCCCGGTACCGGGGCACTGCCGCAACATCTTGCAGGAAAAAGTGTCTGAGGGCATGTTCATTTAATAAAACTATGAATGTTTTATATCCATGTAACAGGAAGAAACTCATCTAACTGATCATTTTTTTTTTTTTTCAAAAGAAAACCCACAATGCTAACACTGAGCCTCTGAATTAGCAACGACCACATCCAACACATCGATTCACATCGTGAGGTGACACAGAATCTATTGACACCGACATTACCACTGAATTATACGTATTTGCGACGTTATAAGCAAAAACGGACATCAAAACAGGTGACGCTAGGTAGCTAAAAATGCTAACATTTTTACCTTGGCTCTGTAGTCTCTCCAAAGTGGTCTTCAATGGCATTAAAACGATAAAAACGCTGCTGAAGTTAATCCATAGGTTAAACTAATGTGTCTGTGTCCCTTTGAAATTATTTCTGATAATCCATAAGCATTAAAACTGCTTTTCCGTTTCCAGATGTCAGAGCTAGAGATAGGTTCACTCTGATTGAAAATTACATGCGCGAAGCCCCCACATTTTATCTTCACAACGTGTGTGTGTGGGGGACTCCCCCTTCGATTCTATTGGCTCTAACGGTCAGAAAGAGGTGTCAACCATCAAAATCGAGCAAGGGGGGCCAGAGATATGGAAAATCCACCCAAATGACCCCAGAAGTGGTTTCTTTTTGCTAAATCTCTCTAAAAAGGTCAAATGTCACTTGTTTTGCATCAATCTTGATATAGGGTACTTATTATATGTTGTACTTTGGATTCCTAAAGCTTTTAGTCTACTAACCCATCATCCAAGGGTAATTTTCACTATTAGTAAAAAAGAATTTTTGGACGGACTATATAATTTATAGTTTTTTACTATGTAAAATCTGAATTTTCTTTAAAATAAAAAACATCTATATTGATTCTGACTTTTCTACATCCAACTCACAGGTTTATCATTACTTTGAGAAAAAAGATTATTAATTTAACCCTTTTAGAAGGGAATATATGGTCATTTGTTCTGGGAATGTCATTTTCGAACCTGAGACCTGAAAAACAGGCTCAGGGCTTAACAGGTTAACCAAGAGGCGGACATTCTCATGTTCCACACATGTTTCTCAATCTCTATGTGTTGGCTCTGTGATGTAAAAAGGCCGCCTCCTCACAAATTGTCTGTATGACATTGAGAGATGCTCTTTGACCTCTTTTTTGTACTGGGCATGGAGCTCAGTGAGGGGCTTGGTTAAAACCCTCCTTTGCATTTTCTTTTTGTTTTTCATGATAGTGTCTTTTTTCCCTGGCAACAGACGACTGTTTTTGTCTCTGGACAAAAAATGGACAACAGCTTGCTCTCTCTCAGCTGATTTGTTGGGCCCTTTTTGCTTTTTCCCCACTTAAGCCCACTCTCTCTCTTGCCATTAACCTCTTTCCACTCTTCCGAAATGTTTCTTTAGGTCTTCTCATTTTTGCAAGCTCTTTTCTAAGATGTAACACCTGCTTTTGTATTTTATACTTCTCTTTCTGAAGTTTTTTGCAACGCCTTTCTGCAGAAGATGTAGTAACTTTCTTCTTTTCCTCTGGTGTGGAAGATGATGGGGGATTACAAGTTTCATTTAGGGGTATTGGGTCCACCATAGCTTGTCCTGCATTTTCTGGCTGTTCTTGTTCTACATCTGAAAAGTTCTCCATACATGGTGGTGTAAGGTCAAGCAAAGGGTTTGCCATATTGTTCCTTTCCCTGTAAGTACTGGATGCAGCCCTCCATTTCTCTCTCTGTTTCTTTCTCTCTCTCTCTGACAGCTCACTTGCCTTAACTTATGGAATCTTTCCCTGCTGTTTCCTTCTCTGGTAGCTGAAACATATATAAATAAACAAATGTATAGCATCATGCCATTTATCTATGATAAATAGCCTATTTTATCTCGGATGGTTGATAGATGTTAACAAAAAAGGAAAAGCAACAACACAACATACCTTTCTCTTCTCCTTGCAAGGTTCTCAGCTCTTGCTGCAGGGTCAGAATTAACACGCTGCCTATGGCAAGCGCTTTTTATTTTACTTGACAGTGGCATCTGTTCAAATAGAATAAAACAGTTAAAAATAAATAAATAAACATTCATTCATAATGATTACAATAATGTAATGAATTGCTCTAGTTTCATGATATATTAACCATAACCCTAACAATTCTTTCAAAGACGAATAAAGTTGCATAGAAATTATTCATAATGAGTCTAAAGTAAAGTACTATAAGTATATAAATCCTCAAATGAATATTAAAGCATAAGAACTGACAATGTATGACCTATTTTAATCATAATTATCACTCTAAAACGGTCGCAGCACATGATATTTGGTCGCACCACATGATATTTGGTCGCACCACATGATATTTGGTCGCACCACATGATATTTGGTCGCACCACATGATATTTGGTCGCACCACATGATATTTGGTCGCACCACATGATATTTGGTCGCACCACATGATATTTGATTAAAGCTGTGGAGAGGTTGACTGAAAAAAGCAACAAAATACAACATATTAATTAAAGGCAATTCCGCACTTAACGTTAAATATTGCATGTGTGATCAGGTAAGATTATATTTTATTGTCAGATCAAATCTGACATTTTTCCTGCATCATAGCAGCTCCATTTGCAACATCAAACAGGGGCAAATATTAAGACACAATACAAGGAAACAAACATTTAACATAACAATCACTGAAGAGAAAACATGCTTAAGACCCTTAAGAATAATAATTTCTCACCTTCCAGGTTTTAATTTCCTCACCCTCTTATAGCATAAGCCCGAATGGTCTCAACCATATTGCATCAGTAACGTGCACTTGTTGTTACAGCAGGATCAGTTTGTGTGCTGTGGACACGACCCGTATATTTTCGCAATCCGTGTTCTCAACATTTAGCATTTCGCTTATTATTTAATTGAATTTGCATCACTTTTCATGGTGGGGCTAAGGTGGGGCTGAGCCATTTCTTGGTATGGCTGTAGCCTACCCCAGCCATACCCTGGCGCCGCCACTGTCTGTCAGTGATGTTGAGATCCTGCTTTTCCTTCAGAGCTTTCACAAGCTCTCCTGCTAAGTACCCCACCCTTCACCAAAGCATAGAGCACACAACAATAACACGTCATCACACAATTACCACTTGAGTGTCCTGCTGCAGAACAGGATATGCAATTTGTTTAAACAGTGTATTAGGTGCTGCCATATGCAAATACAGTTCATTTACAGCAAACAAGTCTTCACTTAATATTGATTTTGGATAACATCCACGCATTGGACATACCCAATTGAGTGTTCAAAGCGGTTGTGGGAGGCTCAAGGACAAACCAAATAGCCTGCTCCAAGCTGGCTATTTGGCTCGTTTGGTAGTTTGGTACTTTGAGTTCATATTGCGAATATTAAATGTAAAGTAAAGTGCCTTCACTTTGCTGTTTAGTTACTTAGGTAAAACATCTGAATACTTCTTCCAGCTCTGTATCACAGTAGATTCAAGGTGCTCCCAGGTGACACATTTCCATTAGAGGAGAATTTAATATATAACTCAATTGTTTTTATTCAATGCATATAGAGGCAACTGAACCACACATCAACATTTCATCCATGCATTTGTTCACTTGTCAGTTGTTATTCAAGCTCTCAAACAAGTCCAAAGTGTCTATCATGTTAGCAGTAAATGATCGATTTAGCATTAGAAAATGAAATAGTTGTTGAACATCTTTTGAATACATCTGAATACTTCTTTCACCACCATCACAGTAGTGTGGATTCAAGGCGCTGCTAGATGACCAATAGAGGAGAATTTAATGTCAAACTCAATTGTTTTTAATAAACGCATATAGAGGTAATAATGATATTAATATTGGGATTTGCCCTTAGAGTTTTGCGATAATGTTTAAATAGTCAAATTAAGCATTTATTAAAACTACAAATGGTACATCTGTAACAATGTCAGAAAACACTTATTACCAGTTGTGATAGCTTTCTCCAATTGTTAATATAATGTCTTTTTGTATGATAGATAGATAGATAGATAGATAGATCGTACTTTATTGATCCCAAATTGGGAAATTGTTTTTGTTACAGCAGCATAAAAGGCATTTTACAATAAAACAAAACTAGAAAATAGAGTCGGCTCATCCCCTTCTTGTACACAGCGTCAGTGTTGATCCTCCAGTTCAGCCCATTGTCTAAGTGCACTCCCAGGTACTTGTAGACCTCCACAACTGCCACATCCTCTCCTAGAATGCACAGGGGCAGAGGAGGAGATGTCCTCTTCCTCCTGAAATCAATGACCATCTCTCTGGTCTTGGCCACATTCAGAAGCAGATGATTTCTTCCAGTCCACTCAACAAAATCACCCACCAGCGCTCTGTACTCCTCCTCCCGTCCATCCCTTATACACCCTACCACTGCAGAGTCATCCGAAAACTTCTGCAGGTGGCATGACTCTGAGTTGTATTGAAAGTCAGAGGTGTATAAGGTGAACAGGAAAGGAGACAGCAAAGTCCCCTGTGGGGCTCCAATACTACCAACCACCACATCAGACAGCACACTGCCCAGCCGGACGTACTGTGGTCTGTCCGTGAGGTAGTTGGTAATCCATGAGGTTCACACACTTAATCTTTGTTGCTTTTTTACACTGGTACTTTTGGCCAACTACCCAAAAAGGCCAAGTAAAAAAAAAAATGTTATGAACATTTTCTCAACTTTTTTCTCAGAATGTTTTGTATCCCACAAATAGGTTAAACATAATACAATCGGTACTTGCATGCTGTTGGGTTTTTTCTAAGCTGTGACAATACATTTGTCTAAAAGTTTCAGAGAAAGATAATTCTATCTCTAGGCATCATGTGAGACATTCTCCTTCGCTTATACAATGTACACAATGGGATCAAGATCAATAAAAAAAAAATCAGCTCTTAATTTGTATTATTAGCAAATATGTTCTGGTTTGGAGGTCATCGATGGAGGTTTGAATAAGCTCTGTGCAGATATCACTTTGTTACACTATAGTTGTTGATAACCTCAGAAGCCTCGATAAAAAAAGGACATAAATGGTATCTTACTGGTGGCTGCTTTTCTCAGCATCATCAAGATGATATAACTGAATTTATTTTCCACTGTCTGAGTGTGAGGGGACAGGGGTTAGGACCAGGATTCAGAGCTAAAAGGAAAAAGGTTCAGGGTTTAAAGGGAAAATAAAGAAATAAACGCTTCTTCAACAACAAATCGACATGCTTTCATATAAAAAATAAAGGATCTCATGCTCTCTTTTTACATTCTCCACTTTAGTGCCTGTCTTTACACGTCCCCTTCCAAAAAAGCCTAGTTTGCTCTGATTGGCTTGCAGAAAAAATAGCAATGGTAGTTCTCAAAATTATATTTGAATGAGCTTGCATGTGACATCAGAAGGGGGGGATACATCTGAGTGGCTTGTTGAATCTCATGTTTTCTGACCAAGGCAGCCCACTACAATGTTCTGGTTTGTATGATTTGTGGCTTGGTTGGCACTTATAAAAACACCTATTATGTATAAAAGATCTCATGGTATGTCCCATTTAAAGACATGTGAGGCAAATAGGTGACAAAACAACGAAGTGCAAACAAATCAGTGAGGACCTGACTTGGACTCATCACACAAACACCATCACCAAAACAGCTCGACAGCGGCTCTTCTTCCTCCGCAGGCTGAGGAGGTTCAACATGGACTCCAGGATACTCTGCAACTTCCACAGGTGCACCATAGAGAGTATCCTGACTGGCTGCATCACGGCCTGGTACGGCAGCGGCACCGCCCTCAATCGTAAGGCTTTACAGAGGGTGGTGAAAACTGCACAGAACATCAGGACGGAGCTGCCATTCATGGAGGATCTTTACTCCCAAGTAAGAAGAAAGCCCTCAGGATTACAAAAGACCCCCACCACCCCAGCCACAAACTGTTTCTGTCTGCTGCCGTCTGGCAGGTGGGTACCACAGCACCAGGACTAAAACCACCAGACTCAGGGACAGCTTCATCCCACAGGCCATAAGACTATTAAATACCTGAACTTGAAACAACATCCATAACATTCATCTGGCTGCTACTTAGAAATTATGTATCTATTATTTCATATTCCAATCATTGTATATAGACTCTTATTGCACTATTTCAGTATTTTACTATTTTTCTTTTTGTATTTACTTGCACTATGTTTTCTGTTTTCCTGTTTTATTGTGTTGCACTGCTGGTGGAGCCTGGGACCTAAGATTTTCATCGTCATAACTACACTCTAGCTATGAACGTATGACTAATAAAAGCCTTGAAATGTATGGGTAACATATATAAGTATTAAATACAATAATGTTCCTATTTCATTTTTTGGATTTCCAGTAAACATTTTTAATAGTAATTTTAACAATTATCGTATAATTCAAAAGAAATAAAACTTTGGTCGGCTTATAAGTCTTTTAATATAAAAGTGTTGGTTTGGGTCCAGCATGACCGGCTGCTGCTGTAAAAAAAACAGTAACACATACTTGCTTATCACAATCATTTATAGCCTATTTGTGAACATTAATAAATCACAGTTTTTTACTTCACGACTGTCAAAAAAATAAATACAAATAAATAAATGCTGACCTAAGCTGTTGATCACCTTGAGTGAACGCAAACCTCAATCTGTTTTATGATTTTATTTCAACACTTCGCTTCCGGTCACTTGTTTGCTGCTTGTAGAGAACTTGACGCAATGGGGTAGCACGTGGAAGGTGGAGCCAAATATAGTGCAGCAAATGAGGCCAGAGAAGTGACGCCAAAACCCCGGATTACGTTCAGTGACGACGATGGAGGACATGCAGTGCCGGCGTTTTTAAAAACGATATTCCTGTGTGTAGAACTATTGTGATAAAGTATGAATGGAGGGATCATTGAAACACACGTGTTGAGGGAGCGAAGAGCATCGACACGCGACAGGACCCAGTGGTAAATCGCCAAGTGTAAACGTCACCTATTAGGAAAAATCCACTTCTTAATGTCTTTTATACATAAACATGTGTCCCCTCTGTGTAAAGAGATTCTGAAAGTTTCAGGAAAAAAGATTTGCTCTCCTTTTGTCCTGATCCATTTATATAAAAAAACCTGTCTGAAAATAACCTGATCAGATTTTGGCCACTTTATAATGTCATAACGATTTTTTTGGCTTGTGCAACCCCCCCCCTTATCACCTGAATCTCCTCCTAGAGCACCATTGTGTTCTTTTTAACCAAATATCTCTCAGAGGGGCGTGGGGAGTGGCTCCTTATTTTCATCTGAAGTAACAGACAGAGAATAAGCACTTTTGAAACAGGGCTGAAACAGAGGGGATTATGGGATGCTACAATATATGATATGTTTGGTATTTGGAGCCAAACACTTCAGAGACATGTTTTGTATATATCTGAGACCCATAATATATTGATGAAAAACAGTATATTAGGGGACCTTTAAGTACAAAGTGAAATTACTTATTATGCAGAATAGCTCTTTACAGTATAAATCTGTATATCAGTATATCTGCTGATAGTCTTTAATGATTCATGTGCAGCTGGAAACTGTGCTTTATGTATTGCCAGCTGACGTAATCCATTATCATTTACTAGTTTCTTTTATATATTTTGTTTACATTTTCTGAATCTGCAAAGTTACTAGCAACTAAAGCTGTCGAAAAAATGTTGAGGAGTAAAAAATTCAGTATTTGATTTAAAAATGTAATGAAGTATAAAGTAACATGACATTGAAATACACTGCT